GCTTCAGTTGTCCGTTACTCTACTGGGGAATAATTCCGGTTTGGGAAGCGGAGGTGAACTGTGTGTTTGGTCGGGGTATATGATACACCGTGACTTTCTGGGGAAATGCGAAATCAATTGTGTTTGATTGGGTTCCGGTCTTACAGTGTTGTGGACTGTTGTCTGGGGATAAGGGAGGCCGAACTCGGATAGTAATGTTAGGAGAAGGAACCTGGATAGTATGGTTACTTTGATATGAAATCCTAGATAGTAGAGCTGTGAGAAGGAGCCTGGATAGTAGGGTTACTTCGATATGAAAGTCGGGATAGTAGGGTTGTGAGAAGGAACCTGGATAGTAGGGTTACTTCGATATGAAAGTCAGGATAGTAGGGATGTGAGAAGGAACCTAGATAGTAAGGTTACTTCAGTATGAAAGCCGGGATATTAGGGTTGTGAGAAGGAACCTGGATAGTAGGGTTACTTTAGTATGAAAGCCTGGATAGTAGGGCTGTGAGAAGGAACCTGGATAGTAGGGTTACTTAGATACGAAAGCCTGGATAGTAGGGCTGTGAGAAGGAACCTGGTTAGTATGGTTACTTCAGTACGAAAGCCTGGATAGTAGGGCTGTGAGAATGAACCTGGATAGTAGGGTTACTTCGATTGAAAGCCTGGATAGTAGGGTTGTGAGAAGGAACCTGGATAGTAGGGTTACTTCGATATGAAAGCCTGGATAGTAGGGCTGTGAGAAGGAACCTGGATAGTGGGGTTACTTCGATATGGAAGCCGGGATAGTAGGGCTGTAAGAAGGAACCTGGATAGTAGGGTTACTTCGATATGGAAGCCTGGATAGTAGGGCTGTGAGAAGGAACCTGGATAGTAGGGTTACTTCGATATGAAAGCCTGGATAGTAGGGTTACTTTGATATGGAAGCCGGGATAGTAGGGCTGTAAGAAGGAACCTGGATAGTAGGGTTACTTTGATATGGAAGCCTGGATAGTAGGGCTGTGAGAAGGAACCTGGATAGTAGGGTTACTTCGATATGGAAGCGGGATAGTAGGACTGTAAGAAGGAACCTGGATAGTAGGGTTACTTCGATATGGAAGCCTGGATAGTAGGGCTGTGAGAAGGAACCTGGATAGTAGGGTTACTTCGATATGGAAGCAGGGATAGTAGGGCTATGGGAAAGAACCTAGATAGTAGGGTTACTTTGATATAGAAGCTTGGATAGTAGGGATGTGAGAAGGAACCTGGATAGTAGGGTTACTTCGATATGGAATCCGGGATAGTAGGGTTGTGAGAAGGAACCTGGATAGTAGGGTTACTTCGATATGGAAGCCTGGATAGTAGGGCTGTGAGAAGGAACCTTGATAGTAGGGTTACTTTGATATGGAAGCCGGGATAGTATGGTTGTGAGAAGGAACCTGGATAGTATGGTTACTTCGATATGGAAGCCTGGATAGTAGGGTTGTGAGAAGGAACTTGGATAGTAGGGTTACTTCGACATAAAACCCTAGATAGTAGGATTGTGAGAAGGAACCTGGATAGTAGGGTTACATCGATATGGAAGCCGGGATAGTTGGGCTGTGAGAAGGAACCTGGATAGTAGGGTTACTTTGAAATAAGTTTGGGTAAAACTGTAGAGGGAACCTAGGTAAGGTTTCTTGGTGATGAGTCTGTGCAGGACTTATGGAGGAACCTGGGTAAGGTTACTTTTGTCGCACCGATGATTACTCTATTTAGCTTCGAGTGTTGAGCCTAGGCCTGCTGGGAATCGTTGATAATAATTGTGTTTCCTGAAAGGAGTACAGGGTTAGTTATGTGTGATGTTTGAAATGCATTGTGAGATGATGTTCTCAAAAATAAATGAGACTATGTTATATGTAATGTATGAACATGTAATGATGTATGAACATGAAATGCTATTGTGACATATCCGAGTGAGAAAATAAATCCCTGACTGCTGCTGGAGAGTAACGGAAATTGAGTTCCTGACCGTCGTAGAAAAAGTGGTTCTTCTACTTCTGCTGGAGATGGTGAACCAGAGACGACTATACCGGGGATTTGCCCCTTGTTTACGGGTATTCTACCGAGGAGAGACTCTGCTTGAGAACAACTCTGCGGGGGAATAATTCTGTTGGAGAGAGAGGCTTCCATAGTTGAAGGGATAAACCCTGTCGGGGATTGAGCTTCTGTATTCAGAGAAATAAACTTTGTTCGAGAGAAAACATTATGACCCGCTTGCGATTACAAAATTCGGCTGGGGAATATAGATGTCAGCTCTCCGGAAGAGCTTGGTTGGGGAAAGTAACTCCTGTTTGGGGGAGCCGATGTCAAATCTTTAGTTGCCTATACTCCATGGGGAGTGTAGATGTCACAAGGTCGTATGCCGAGGATACGACAATGACTTCACATCAGGACTTTTCTGCCCCTGTACCTGCTGGAGAAAGTACCCATGGAGGCCTTGTGGATTGAGTGTTATCCCAACTTATGAGGTGCTTGGTAACTTCCGATCAGAATGATAAGTCTTTTACTGATAAGCAAGTGACAAGATGACGGGACATAGTCGTACGCTTTAATCCCTAACTTTTGCCTGGACTGTCTTTTCAGATTTTTAGTCTACCGGGATACCCTTTTTTGCCGAAGCCGCCTTTTCAGGTTTTCGACTTGCCAGGTGTACAGATCTTTTTTGTTTTTATCCCCAATTTTTTCCTGAACCCTTTTGGTTCGCCGGGATGCCCTTATTTTTGCCTAGGCCAGTCAACCTAACAGGTCTTTATTCATGCGTAGTATTTTCCGACTATGTCCACGTTCACCAGGTACGAAGAATTGTCACTGTCCATAGTAGTAAGTGTTGCCACACTACCAGAAGATGTTTGTTTGATCGTACAGGATTCGTTGCTAGGATTCATGCCCAATTCCCCAAGTGTTTCAGATAGAGGTCTGCCCCTGGCTATTTGGCATCTTTCAAAGATTCCTTGAATCTTGACTTGACTGCCCCAGATGATGGACAATGATCATGCCGTGCCCCTTGGTTGGAAGTGTTTTTCCACTTGAGGTGATCCTTTTTATTGAGAAGGTTTTTTGTTCACTAGATATTCGTCATGTGAATTTCTCTGCTGTTGAACAAATAGTCATATGCAAACAATGTTATTTTAAGAATGCAAAGCTTACGTTTGTCTTGAAGTTTTGAAAATTCAGTTTTTTTTATAGAAAAAATAGAATTTTGCAAAGATGTGATATCAACTCAGGATTTGTAACGGGCCTTCAGGAGTCAGGATACCTTTTGTAACAGTATGCTTTCGAACTAACCCATGCTTCAGCTAGGACTTTGAAGGGTTATAACGTGGCCTGGTTCACGGTTTAAGAAACAAAGGATAAAGGCTCAAATTTTATTTGTACCCACTCGTTCTTCGTGATGTTCTTCGATCCTAAACTCAGCTAATTGTGCATTTAGATCCCGTTTCAGTATTTTCTCTGATATTCCAGTGATGGTTCGGATACTGACAGTTTATTTTGAATAGTGTAGCAGTAAAAATCGGAGATCAAGCTATTAATTAACTTGACTCACAAAAGCAAGAGTCGCCACCGCGCTTTATTGTTTCCAAGGGAAAAGGGAAAAGAGCGAAATAAAACCCTAAAATATGCAATGTAAAATAATACTTAAAAGTAATAAAATACAATGCGTTTTTGAAAGAGATCGAGAGTTCGGGGGTTGGTTATACAATGGGAAGGTACTAGCACCCAATGCATCTGCGGTACTCCGCATGAACCTTTTGAAATATCTGTTTTTGGTTAAAATTGTTTGTTTGATTAAAAATGATTCGTTTGGCTAAAAGATGGGTATGGACGAGATTTTTGAAGATACGACGACCTAATGTCGAAGTTTTGACTTAAAAGGTGTGAGTTTGAAAATGGAGTCTTTTGGGAAATTATCTTGAGTTTAGCGAAATAGTAAACAAACAAAAAATGAAAAAAGGGTATTCGCACGATCGGATGAGATGTATTTGATGATGTGAAGTCAACAAATTTAAATCTTTTCCTTGGAGTAAGCAAAATAAAATGAACATCAAAATATAAACATTCAGAAGTTCACAAGAAAATAAATCTGACAAAAACAAATTAATGATCAAGAGGCACCGAGAAATTGAAATGACAGAAATATACAAATAAAAAGGAATATAACTAATTATCTAAAGAAGTTATTCGAACTAAATTAAAAATTACTTACTAAAATAATTCTAAACTAATTACAAATTCTAAGGTTATAAAAAAAAATCTAGTATCATTGAATTTGATCTAAATTAAACTAAAGTTTTAAAATTTAGTAAGTTAAATCTAGATTAAATTAAAATCCTAAGGTTACTAAATTAAATCTAAAACAAATAAAAATTCCAAAGTTACTAAACTAAATCTAAATCAAATAAATTTCTAAAACTACTAAACTAAATTTAAATCAAATAAAAACTCTAAAGTTATTAAACTAAATAAAAGTTATAAACTTATTAAACTAATTCTAAATCAAATAAAAATTCTAAAGTCACTAAACTAAAACTAAAGAAATAAAATTCTAAAGTTAACTAAATAAAATCAAATAAAATTCTAAAGTTATTAAACTAAAACTAAACAAATAAAATTCTAAAGTTAACTTAAATAAAATCAAATAAAATTCTAAAGTTATTAAACTAAACTAAAACAAATAAAATTCTAAAATTTACTAAATGAAATAAAATTCTAAAGTTATAAAATAAATCAAAACTAATTAAAGAATTCTAAATTAATATTAAACTAAATTAATTATAAGATTTACTAATATTTTTTTTTATATTTTTTTTTTACAAACCAAATAAATCATTTCAAAATTTATAACAGACAAAAAACAAAAGGCATGGTAATTTTAGCATTTAAAAAGAAAGTAAACACAAAAAGTCAAAAGTGAAACATCTACTGATAATTAAAGCAACCCCACGTGAAAGAGCTTCCTCTCAAAATTCAAAAAGTTTCACAAACGTGTTTTTTTACCTCTATAGAAAAATAAAACACTCCATCGAAACATGAGGGTTTTCAATTGACTCTACCTGCGAAACGATGTCGTTTTTCTCTTCACCTTCTTCACTCTCACTCTTCTTCTCCGTTACATTACAAACGATGTCGTTTATCTCTCCAACCTCTTCACTCTCACTCTTCTTCGCCGGAGCTTGTTTCCGACCAACTCCGACACCTATTTTACTCGACACTCCAACTGTACGAGAACACGAAGGAGACCTCGACCTCCTGCCGGAACCCTCACCGGAGTCACGGCGAACACCGGTTGGACCTGCATTGACTTTACGGTTTGCAACGGAACCGGATTCTCTTCCACGAACTAACCTTGACCCGTTCTTCATTTTCTTCTCTGGCGACGGGGACGGTCTTCTAGCCGGTGATTTAATACTTCTCTCATTTCCACCGCTGACATTTGCATCAGCTATGACAGGACGCTTTCTTGATGGAGATCGATTCCACTTGTGAGTCGTCGTTGTTGGTTCTCTGCTGCATGGTTTTCTTGTTGCTTCGTCTTCTCTTTTCTCCGTAACAGTAGTAGTGGATTTTGGTGGCAAATTTGAAGTGAACTTTGCACGGACTACCCCACTGTTACCATTAGGTCTAGTAACCTTTCCCCAGATACACCTATAGTGGCTACCATCCCTTTTAACCTTGGCCTTGTAAATGTATGCCAACCGTTTCCCAGCATACCATGCAACCTCTTCCTTTGTGTTTACTCCCTCGATCTGAACAAGAGAGGTGTTTGGGTATTGATTTGACTTTGACCTTTTGTATCCAAGAACTGTACCCCTGACATAAAGCCTAATGCGTTCTCCCTATCTACCCTTGACCATTCTGAAATGGTGGAAGATGCAGAAGCTGCTGTGTTTCCTTTTGACATCAGTAGTTACATTCTTGTGCTTCAACTGTGTGTTAACATCAGCCACAAAAACCTCACCCTTTTTGGTACTTGAGGTGGTTATAGCAACTCCATTAGGTGAATAAGTAGTGAGAGTAAACTTCTGGTCAGTGTTGTAATCCATGAACAAAAGATCTCTGGCTTTCTTGCCGATGTCAGAGTAGAGACCTGGACCCTTCGCCATTGCTTCTTCAGAGAAAATCGGAAAATGGAAGATGAAGAAAAAGAAGGGTTTTGAGCTGAACGGTGCAACACGGTGGGGTGAGGGAGATGGATGGATTGGAGAGTTGGTTTATGTGGTTGTTTTTGTGAATGGTAGTGGAGAGAAAGAGGTATGGAGACAGGGGTAGTAGATGAAAGAAGAGAGATTATTGTATTGGGAAGAGAAGCAAGGATAAGAGTTACCGTGTTGATTTTTTTGTCCGTGTCCCCCTTACAAAAGATAAAGAAGCTAAAAATAGAAAAAATGAAAAGGAATCTTATGATTTCAAAATAAATCCAAGCCGTTCAAAATTATTCAATATGCATTAATCCTTAAATTTTGTCAACAACCAATAAAAATCAAGTATAGTGCATTTAATATTTTTTTATGACAAAAACACCCTTAAATGATAAAAATAAAATAAAAAAAAACTGAAACTATTAAAGTTAACTCAATTTAAAATAAATTTTCAATTTTTCAGAATAAAAAAATAAAGACCCAAAATGACCGAAAACGATAAAAAATGGACGAAGTTTATCCGAAAAAATAAAATGAACACATTAAAATAATCTACATGTCAAAAAGATTAAAGAAAAATATTCAAAAAGTCAAAAATCAAAAATAAAATAATAATAAAAATATCAGACTAAACAGACGTTTAAGGTTAAAAACGAGACTTCGAACTGTACCGAAAAAATAAAGCGAGCCTACCGTCATAATCTACGCGAAGCGCAGATTCATGAAATGATCGGTAAAAGGTGAAAACTTGAAATATTTTCTCGCTACTTTCCCGCATAGTGTCGAATCGCTTTTAACAGTCTGTCTATAAAACCGAAATATTTTATTATCGACATATAAACAACTTGGAGCAGTGCAAGAAAATAGTAAATAGATAAAAATGAATGAAATGAAATGTCGGGTATTTTACAACTAAAAGACGATGCAAACTTTGATTTAAACTGACTTTTTCTGGTCAACTTAAATACGACTATTGATGCAAAATGTGATGAATGAAGGTATTTACTAATGATTGTGACCAAATGACAAAATATGGTATGAATGTGCGACTGAAAAAATTAGGGGCGAAATTAAGGGTGCAACGGTGTGCCTTGATGAATCAGTCTTCGAGAATCCACAATCAACCGTACTTCTGGCTTGGGAGACTTAAAACCTTAATTGAGGCGCGACACCTGATGCTCTTGATTCAGACCTGTCTCTGCACATGAAACAAAAGAAAACATGAACATACACTTTTGTATGCGATAAGAAATTAGTGATACATAGGCTAAAAATGTTCAAAACACTTGACAATCTTCACATAGTCAATGCTTGAAGGTGAGAGGTTAAAACCGACCGTATTTAGTGACCTTGACTTATCTTTAAAAATGCAAAAATAAAAATGGGATCTTAGGTCAAAAATTGGGGTACAACAGCTGTCCCTATTTAAGTTTCTTCTATCTGGAGATATGAAGATTGGGATCTTCATTTCGACGAGATTGAAGGGACTTAAATATAGAATACACAATTTTTGGCCTTAAGATACCGCAATTATGTTCATGATATGATATGAATGTAATGCTCTGAATTTTATGGGGAATGACGCAATATGAGACAGACTATGCTGGAGAAACCAGGCACATTATACAGTAATCCCACAGAGGAAGAGGTTGTAACTCCACTGGGGAAACAAAGTCGTAGACTTCAAATGAGAGACTCTTGAATGATTTACATCAGTGTTGAGACTGGGAAAGAAATGATTTACATCAGTACGAAGACTGGAAAAAGAAAATGATTTTCATCAGCATTGTGGCTGGAAAACAAAATGATTGACATCAACACTGTGGCTGGAAAACAAAATGATTGACATCAGCACTGTGGTTGGAGATAAACATCTCTGATTTCTGAATTTTACCAAGAACGGTAACACATTTCTTCTTTAACCAAGATATCGCTTGAAAAGGATAAAATAACAAACTTATCCACGGGACTTTTCCGAAAGGATGCCATTTGCTGAGTAGGCATTATTGTTGGGGATACACAAGCTGCTCAAATAAAGAGGCCGCCACTTGCTTCCTTTCAAAGGTGTCAATAACATACAAGTTGCTCATGAAGAGACCGCTACTTGTTGTCTTCAAAGAAAATTGAAGCATACAAGCTGCTCATGAAGAGTCCGCCACTTGTTGTCTTCAAAGAATATCAAAGTACACAAGCTGCTCATGAAGAGTCTGTCACTTGTTGCCAATAACCCACAAGCTGCTCATAAAGAAGCTGCCACTTGCCGTTTTCAAAAAAGTGTTGATAACATACAAGTTGTCCATGAAGAGACTGTCGCTTGTTGTTCTTTTTCAAGGTATCAATAACATACAAGTTGCTCATGAAGAGACCGCCGCTTGATGTTTTTCAAGAGAAAAATAACACACAAGTTGCTCATGAAGAGACCGCCGCTTGCTGTTTGTCAAGAGTATCCATAACACACAAGTTGCCTCATGAAGAGACTGCCGCTTGCTGTTTGTTTCAAGGTATCGATAACATACAAGTTGCTCATGAAGAGACCGCCGCTTGATGTTTGTCAAGAGTATCCATAACACACAAGTTGCTCATGAAGAGACTGCCGCTTGCTGTTTGTCAAGAGTATCCATAACACACAAGTTGCCTCATGAAGAGACTGCCGCTTGCTGTTTGTCAAGAGTATCCATAACACACAAGTTGCGTCATGAAGAGACTGTCGCTTGCTGTTTTCTCAAAGATACCCATAAAATATCATGAAGATATTGCTGGAGGTGAGAATCAATAATTTCATCGAGGATGGACAAACTGCTCATGAAGAGACCTCCATTTGTCGTAGAGAAATCAGAAATAATCAAACTTCTCAAATAAAGAGTCAGTCGCTTATTGTCATGTCGATATTCCAGAAGAAGGTTGTGATAACACTGCTGGGGAATAAAGTTCATCTTCAATGGGGAACCATGAATAAATCCTTCTTGAGGAGACCAAGTATTTACATTGCAAAATAAATGCACTCTCCATCTAGGTTTCACAGCCTAGAGATATTCACAGGGTATCGTTCACAAGAGACACAACTCAATCCAGGAATAAACTAGAGAGAAAATAGTCAAACAAGACTCCAACCAATGAGGAAACAACTCAAATGGGGATTTATCCTATCCAGAGATGGAAAAGGAAAGCTAAAGCAAGATTCTTCCACGAGAGTTAACTCAGTGGGGAATTAGAAAAGAGGCGCACTTTCTGCTTAAGTTGACACTCTATTTGGAAAGATCAAATACGCTATTTGAATAGGCATAACCAAGGTATACGAACTCAAAGATATCAACAAATACAAATGTGCGTGCATGATGCAAGTATGAACGAATGAATGAATGTCATGTATATGCTGACAAAACAGACAGGGGAGATAGACAACAGATGATAAGACATCACAGCACAAACCCAACACTCAGCTAATCTCAACAAGATGGGAACGTTACTGGAGATAGAACACAGGCCATCATTGGAGCAAGGTCCTTTTACAAGGCTTAAATCTCTTTGGAGAGGGAGATATTTTCAGGTAGAAAACCCAAAGTCCAGTCTTCTATTGCAAACAATCCATTGAAAGGATAACAACACAAACAAAGTTTCAGCTGGAACAAAGTCTTGCTTAGCTGGAGATACTGGAACACCACCCTCTGATAATGTGTGCAATACATATCACATATCTCGACAAATCTGGATTGCCCCTGGGATTAATTTTGGATGCCCCAAGTTTACTGCTGATAAGCTGCGTGATGCACGATGATTCTTGCGAATAACTTCACTTCTAAAAAGCCCCAAGCTATATGGTTGATAAGGAGAAATCGTCTCAAGAGGATTTTACAAAAGACCTGGCATTCACTATGCTCTGGTGTCTTCAAACTCTTAGAGAGATTCATCAAATCTCTACGTGATTGCCCCGGATTGACTGTAGTTGGCACATCAAAGTCTTCAAATTTTTGCCCCAAACGAGCAAACAAGTTAGGAAAAGCATTAACTGGGAGAAGCAACATGTTCGTGCTTACGGTCTTCAGGTGACATGCCCATGGATATGATTTTTTCTTGACGTGATCCGTCAATTACTCAACATAGTTTCAGGCCTTAAAAGAATAAACTCATCACTGGTGCTTATGTGAGCTTCCTTGATATCAAACAAATGTTTTGCAGTTAGAAAGAGTTTACAATGAGAATGAAAATTCTAATGCAACAGTTATGTAAGTCTTGAAGATTTTGAAAGATATCGCACAAATTTTGCGAGTTAAAGCACCATTTATTTTTGTATAGGAAGAACATATGATACTAACATAACTATTTAGAACATTCATGGGAGTCAGGAACACTATCTCATTGAAGTATGCTTTCAAAATAACCTTGCTTCAATTAGGACTTTTGAGGGTTGTAACGTGGTCTGGTTCATGGTTTTTAGAAAAAAGATTTTAAGTCTCAAAATATTTGGTGCCCACCCATTCTTCATGATGTTCTCCAACCCTATGTTCAGTTAATTCAACATGAGTGTTCATCTCTCAAAAGGATTTTGTGACGGTCAAGGAAACGACGAGGCTTTCGGAGTAGAAACCACCCTCATGTCTTCGTGTTTATAGTCACCAATTTGCTCTTTGCTGAGGACTTTTCTTTGTAGTCCTTTCTTTGCAATTTTTATTTTCCCTAATTTTTGCATGAACTAATTTTTGAATTGATAGTCCAGCGGGATGCCTTAATTTTGCCTAAGTCACACGTTTTCATGTTTTTTGACTTAGCAGGATTTTCCTTTTTCTTGATTTTTTTTTTACTTTTTGAACAAAATGTGTGACATTAGCTTGTCTTTGCTTGTTGAGAGGATTGTGATTGCCTCGTTTCTTGATGAATGAGGGATAACATTATGGTTCCACATCCTCTAGATTCATTATACATGAAGGATAGCCCTCGTAGTTTCTCTTCAAAAAACATCTTCCTTATGAATTTTGAACACTCAGTCAGATTAACTAAAAAAACTACCCTGCCCCAGGTTAAAATTCAAGGTTTTTTCGTATAGAAAAGAAACTTCTGCTTCAAAGGCTCAAAAGGGGTTAGCAAGGGATTATCTTCCTTATATCTCCGGTGTTTAGGGATTTGAAATAATGCCTGTACATCATCAGCAAGATTTTATCCAAAAGCAAACAACCAGAGATTTTGTGTTCTTTAGATCATCATCCTCCCCTCAATCTCGGCCTAGGCAAGAGAATGGGCAACAAGTTGGTATCATAATGCAAAAGCAATTTAAAATTTGAAAACAAATATGAGTGAAACGAATGAATTTCTTCAAGACAAACATACTCATTGTATTAAGATAATCATTCAGATGAAAACAAGTTCTTACATGCAAACAATGTTTTGATAAACAAGAAAGATTACAAAAAGCATAAATAAGTTAATAATCTGGGAAGGCTTTCCATCTGGACCGAAAACATCCTTCAAAACTCAAAGTGACCATCAATCGTGTTTACTCTTTGGCACGTGCTTGATTTGAACTTCAAAACCAATGTCCTTGAATGACAAGATACCACTTCTGACCAACTACTGAACCTCGATCTTCAAAGCAAAGCAACCCTCCAAGTCATGCCCAGGAGCACCTTGATGAAAGGTACAAGTCAAATCAGCTTTATAGTACCAATGTATCTTCTCAGGAACCTTCGGTGGAGGTCGGGTCTGAACCAAATTCCTCTGCATCAGGATAGGGAACAACTCTGTATAGGTAATTGGAATTGGATCAAACTGGGTTTTCCTATGATTAGGAACTTGTTGATTTTGTTGATGAATAGGAGAAACATGATGATTTTGATGATGAATATTTCTTCCTATGGTTCTCTTCTTGGAAAAGTTATTATCAAACTTCTTCACACCATTAGATGAGCTACCATCTTCATATGAACATCCCTTCCCAACATCTTCTTCTAGACGCACTCCCATATTCACCTTGTCAGGAAAATCATTAGGTGCATTAACCATCACCTTCTCATGAGAGAATGATTTTTAGAGTTTCAGTGAATACTTTTATCATCGCTTCCTCCCTCCTAGAAGGATTGACTTGGGCGGCAACCAGAATTTCAACCAAGCCAGTTAAGTGCTCCACACTAGCTTTCAAATTAGTCATCTCTCTACGGAGTTCAGAAACCTCTTGCTTGATATTCTCCATTGTTCTCTTAGCGCGAGTGTTGTACTGGTGAGACCAAAGGAAAAATAAGACTCGGAAAAAGACCTTTGAAAGTGAAACAAAAAATGTAGGATGATGTATGATATGCAAAAGAGAGTTTTTATTTGATTTTCAAGGAACTCAAGATATTAAGTTGTAAACATCAAAGTATGAAGATAGAAGATGAATTTTAAATTGGCTCCAAACATTGATCAAGTTATCATCAAGATCAATCATCCATTTTGGTGGATTAGGGTTTTCGCCCTATCAACACCCAAGATCCATTGAGCTTGACGAAACTTGTGATGTTTACAAAGAAAGACCTCCAAATTCCTTCAAAGTCAAGTGAAAAGGGTTTTATGGATGCATGAATGCATGGCTATACAATAACCACAAGCAAGGTCACAAATAAATTCGAAAGGTTCAACATCACGAGCATGGAGTCAAGGTAAGGAACACCCCCAAGGTATGTACTAACGGTTTAATCACACCTGTAGAACAAGGTTCTAAGAGTTCCCGGAGTCTACATTCCTCCTTCGGATATTACCAACGTCTTGATTACTCAATAATCAGCAATATTCTCAAGAGAAACTCATCCGAGCGTAGCATCGCGTAACAATTACTTCCGGATTACTCCGTTATAATCTTCGCGCTACACCTAAAAGGCCAAGATGGGTTAGGGTTCTACGGTTCCCAGCTTCTCTGGCTCCCAGGTCGAAAATAATAATGTCTTCCCGATTACTCGGTAAACAAATATTACATTCAAAAGGGCCTTCCACTGAGTGGGGGATCTCATGCCTCCTTCTTCGGGATTACTCCCTCAAAGTTAACATGACTATACCGCCCGTCCTATTCCTAAGTGTAACTTAGTCCGGGTATAGGACTTGTCCTTTGTAAATATTATCAACACCCAATAATCATAATATATACATATAATCAAACAATCAAATAATGATAAAACAGATAAAACAAATTAGGCTTAACCCACTTAGGGATGGACCAGCAAGAGGTCAATCTGTCCCCAGCAGAGTCGCCAATTCTGTAGCGGTGAAAATCGGAGATCAAGCTATTAATTAACTTGACTCACAAAAGCAAGAGTTGCCACCGCGCTTTATTGTTTCCAAGGGAAAAGGGAAAAGAGCGAAATAAAACCCTAAAATATACAATGTAAAATAATACTTAAAAGTAATAAAATACAATGCGTTTTTGAAAGAGATCGAGAGTTCGGGGGTTGGTTATACAATGGGAAGGTACTAGCATCCAATGCATCTGCGGTACTCCGCAGGAACCTTTTGAAATATCTGTTTTTGGTTAAAATTGTTTGTTTGATTAAAAATGATTCGTTTGGCTAAAAGATGGGTATGGACGAGATTTTTGAAGATACGACGACCTAATGTCGAAGTTTTGACTTAAAAGGTGTGAGTTTGAAAATGGAGTCTTTTGGGAAAATTATCTTGAGTTTAGCGAAATAGTAAACAAACAAAAAATGAAAAAAGGGTATTCGCACGATCGGATGAGATGTATTTGATGACGTGAAGTCAACAAATTTAAATCTTTTCCTTGGAGTAAGCAAAATAAAATGAACATCAAAATATAAACATTCAGAAGTTCACAAGAAAATAAATCTGATAAAAACAAATTAATGATCAAGAGGCACCGAGAAATTGAAATGACAGAAATATACAAATAAAAAGGAATATAACTAATTATCTAAAGAAGTTATTCGAACTAAATTAAAAATTACTTACTAAAATAATTCTAAACTAATTACAAATTCTAAGGTTATAAAAAAAAAAACTAGTATCATTGAATTTGATCTAAACTAAACTAAAGTTTTAAAATTTAGTAAGTTAAATCTAGATTAAATTAAAATCCTAAGGTTACTAAATTAAATCTAAAACAAATGAAAATTCCAAAGTTACTAAACTAAATCTAAATCAAATAAAATTATAAAACTACTAAACTAAATTTAAATCAAATAAAAACTCTAAAGTTATTAAACTAAATAAAAGTTATAAACTTATTAAACTAATTCTAAATCAAATAAAAATTCTAAAGTCACTAAACTAAAATTAAAGAAATAAAATTCTAAAGTTAACTAAATAAAATCAAATAAAATTCTAAAGTTATTAAACTAAAACTAAACAAATAAAATTCTAAAGTTAACTTAAATAAAATCAAATAAAATTCTAAAGTTATTAAACTAAACTAAAACAAATAAAATTCTAAAATTTACTAAATAAAATAAAATTCTAAAGTTATAAAATAAATCTAAACTAATTAAAGAATTCTAAATTAATATTAAACTAAATTAATTATAAGATTTACTAATATATTTTTTTTTTTTTACAAACCAAATAAATCATTTCAAAATTTATAACAGACAAAAAACAAAAGGCATGGTAATTTTAGCATTTAAAAAGAAAGTAAACACAAAAAGTCAAAAGTGAAACATCTACTGATAATGAAAGCAACCCCACGTGAAAGAGCTTCCTCTCAAAATTCAAAAAGTTTCACAAACGTGTTTTTTTACCTCTACAGAAAAATAAAACACTTCATCGAAACATGAGGGTTTTCAATTGACTCTACCTGCGAAACGATGTCATTTTTCTCTTCACATTCTTCACTCTCACTCTTCTTCTCTGTTACATTACAAACGATGTCGTTTATCTCTCCAACCTCTTCACTCTCACTCTTCTTCGCTGGAGCTTGGTTCCGACCAACTCCGACACCTATTTTACTCGACACTCCAACTGTACGAGAACACGAAGGAGACCTCGACCTCCTGCCGGAACCCTCACCGGAGTCACGGCGAACACCGGTTGAACCTGCATTGACTTTACGGTTTGCAACAGAACCAGATTCTCTTCCACGAACTAACCTTGACCCGTTCTTCATTTTCTTCTCTGGCGACGGGGACGGTCTTCTAGCCGGTGATTTAATCCTTCTCTCATTTCCACCGCTGACGTTTGCATCAGCTATGACAGGACGCTTTCTTGATGGAGATCGATTCCACTTGTGAGTCGTCGTTGTTGGTTCTCTGCTGCATGGTTTGCTTGTTGCTTCGTCTTCTCTTTTCTCCGTAACAGTAGTAGTGGATTTTGGTGGCAAATTTGAAGTGAACTTTGCACGGACTACCCCACTGTTACCATGAGGTCTAGTAACCTTTCCCCAGATACACCTATAGTGGCTACCATCCCTTTTAACCTTGGCCTTGTAAATGTATGCCAACCGTTTCCCAGCATACCATGCAACCTCTTCCTTTATGTTTACTCCCTCGATCTGAACAAGAGAGGTGTTTGGGTATTGATTTGACTTTGACCTTTTGTATCCAAGAACTGTACCCCTGACATAAAGCCTAATGCGTTCTCCCTGTCTACCCTTGACCATTCTGAAATGGTGGAAGATGCAGAAGCTGTTGTGTTTCCTTTTGACATCAGTAGTTACATTCTTGTGCTTCAACTGTGTGTTAACATCAGCCACAAAAACCTCACCCTTTTTGGTACTTGAGGTGGTTATAGCAACTCCATTAGGTGAATAAGTAGTGAGAGTAAACTTCTGGTCAGTGTTGTAATCCTTGAACAAAAGATCTCTGGCTTTCTTGTCGATGTCAGAGTAGAGACCTGGACCCTTCGCCATTGCTTCTTCAGAGAAAATCGGAAAATGGAAGATGAAGAAAAAGAAGGGTTTTGAGCTGAACGGTGCAACACGGTGGGGTGAGGGAGATGGATGGATTGGAGAGTTGGTTTATGTGGTTGTTTTTGTGAATGGTAGTGGAGAGAAAGAGGTATGGAGACAGGGGTAGTAGATGAAAGAAGAGAGATTATTGTATTGGGAAGAGAAGCAAGGATAAGAGTTACTGTATTGATTTTTTTGTCCGTGTCCCCCTTACAAAAGATAAAGAAGCTAAAAATAGAAAAAATGAAAAGGAATCTTATGATTTCAAAATAAATCCAAGCCGTTCAAAATTATTCAATATGCATTAATCCTCAAATTTTGTCAACAACCAATAAAAATCAAGTATAGTGCATTTAATATTTTTTTATGACAAAAACACCCTTAAATGATAAAAATAAAATAAAAAAAAACTGAAACTATTAAAGTTAACTCAATTTAAAATAAATTTTCAGTTTTTCAAAATAAAAAAATAAATACCCAAAATGACCGAAAACGATAAAAAATGGACGAAGTTTATCCGAAAAAATAAAATGAACACATTAAAATAATCTACATGTCACAAAGATTAAAGAAAAATATTCAAGAAGTCAAAAATCAAAAATAAAATAATAATAAAAATATCAGACTAAACAGGCGTTTAAGGTTAAAAACGAGACTTCGAACTGTACCGAAAAAATAAAGCGAGCATACCGTCATAATCTACGCGAAGCGCAGATTCATGAAATGATCGGTAAAAGGCGAAAACTTGAAATATTTTCTCGCTACTTTCCCGCATAGTGTCGAATCGCTTTTAACAGTCTGTCTATAAAACCGAAATATTTTATTATCGACATATAAACAACTTGGAGCAGTGCAAGAAAATAGTAAACAGATAAAAATGAATGAAATGAAATATCGGGTATTTTACAACTAAAAGACGATGCAAACTTTGATTTAAACTGACTTTTTCTGGTCAACTTAAATACGACTATTGATGCAAAATGTGATGAATGAAGGTATTTACTAATGATTGTGACCAAATGACAAAATATGGTATGAATGTGCGACTGAAAAAATTAGGGGAGAAATTAAGGGTGCAACGGTGTGCCTTGATGAATCAGTCTTCGAGAATCCATAATCAACCGTACTTCTGGCTTGGGAGACTCAAAACCTTAATTGAGGCGCGACACCTGATGCTCTTGATTCAGACTTGTCTCTGCACATGAAACAAAAGAAAACATGAACATACACTTTTGTATGCGATTAGAAATTAGTGATACATAGGCTAAAAATGTTCAAAACACTTGACAATCTTCACATAGTCAATGCTTGAAGGTGAGAGGTTAAAACCGACCGTATTTAGTGACCTTGACTTATCTTTAAAAATGAAAAAATAAAAATGGGATCTTAGGTCAAAAATTGGGGTACAACAAATAGGCAGTCATTTCTTTTTTTGTTGAGGGTTTGTAGGACCTCTTTCTTTTTTATTTTATTATCCCTGTCTTTTGCCTGAACTGTTTCTTTTTGTGATTACAGTTAGCGAGATGCCCCAGTTTTTTCTTAAGTCTCCTTAATAGGTTTTGACTTAATGGGGTTTTATTTCGAGAGATAATGACTGCCTGCTTGGATGATTATGTGGAACCATCACCGTCTTTTGATTTGGAAGGACGTCTTCGATGCCAATCATTGTGTACGAAGCGACAGATCATGACTGAATGCGCTCCTGAATTAACTGAGAAAACTACCCTGCCCCAGGTTCTTATTAAGGGTTTTAATATGTGTGAAAAGAAAAACTCCTACTTCTTTGGATCGAAGGGGTTTACTAGGGATTATCTTCCTTATAACTCCACTGTTTAGGATTTGAAACAACGTCTGTACATCGTCAACGGGGTCTGTTCAAAAGCATATTATAGATATTATGGTATCATTTTTGTCAACCTCCCTCTAAAGGCTTACAGTTTTTTAGTCGAGAGTTGAATATCACGAAAAGGAAAGCAATTTAAATATAGTGAATATGAATGAATTGATTTAAAACAGACATATGCAATGCATTGATAAAGTAACAGAGTTTGACATGAATAGATGTTCGAATAATCAAAATAAAATTGCAAATTGAAAATTCTAATGAACAAAAGCCTCTTCGTCTGATCTTGTCACTTCAGAGGATGTGCCTTGGAGGGATGGTAGAAGAACTCAGCCTGACCATCTCGTGTAAACTCCACCACTCCTTTATCAATCAAGTCCTGAATTTTATATTTCAGCCTCCAACAGTAGTCAGTATCATGCCCCGGGCTGTTGGAATGGTATGCACACGTTGCATCAGAATTGTAGTTAGAGGAAGAAGTATTGGGATTCGGATGAGGTCCTATCAACGTAACCAGATTCATCCTCAACATGTGTTGTAAAGCTTGAGACAGCGGCATGTTGAGTTTGGTAAATTGCCTTTTGGGCATATCCGGCTTACTATGATTAACCCGTTGTTTTTGGCGAGGTTGTTATTGGACCCGTGAGGTAGTAGGAATTTGGAAAGGTCCACTCTTCACCAAACCAACCTTTTGTCTTCTTAGAGGTTGATCAATGACTTGGTCCCCGGTCTCGATTGTTTGCTTCATACTGTTGTATACGTCTTGATAAAGTTGGTTGATGATGGCTTTCAGCTCTTCTTGCCTTCGGGCTAAGCCTTGGATAAGAGCCATCTGCCCCAGCATCTGGGTTCTCATTGCACCTACCTCAGCTTGCAGTTGTTCCAGCCATTCATCCTTATTGTCTTCAGGACTTTTCTTGGCCAAGTTCCCAACAAGGAGTGTTTTCAACTCTTCCTGCCCCTTGGATAGGTTTAGGAATATGTCCCTGAACTGAGCTTCTTGAGTTTGAAGATCTCTGTTGTCTTGTTTGAGAGCCATTGATGAAATAAACAGCGAGAACATGAGAGACCTGTACTGGAAGACCTATTATGCAATGATATGCATGATATATGTATGCAATGTTTTCAAGGATCTCGCGGGGTAAACAAGAAACTGTTAGAATTTGATTGCAGCTTGATTGAAGAAACTTCGTGTCGTTGAGAGTCCTTCTTCAAGATTCAAGATCACCATATCGAGTGGGTCATAGCCCCTGACTCAAGATCCTTTGACAACATTGGCTAAAGGAAAATAAATCCCCTTGCCCCTTGCTAGACGTCTGGTTCTCCATGACCTACATCACAAACCCTTGAGATCCTTGAAATGGTTAAGGAAATGTTAAGGCATGATGTTATGATGTGTATGCTATGCATTTAAGAAAAAGTGTGAGGTGATGTAAGCAAGTAAAACCGGTAAGAAATCCAAGTTATTGGATAAGGACTGTAAACAAAACCTGCAAGGAACTCATGTTGTCGGATAATAAAACTGTGCAAGTAGTTCAAGTTGAAAGCACACAAGTCACATAACAGCCTTAGGTTTAGGCTTGCATGGGTTTTAAGGTAGTACCCTCTTGAAGTTTAGTTGGTTCAACCTGTCCTAAAAAAGTAATCGGGTTCTAGAGGATCTCAATATCACTGACCATCCTTCATCGGTCATGGTTTCAGCTCACGCAATCTTTTCTTGCGGCTGGAATTATTCCGAGAGTATGGTCTCAATGAGTGTAGCATCGAGTATCAACCAATTCTCAGCTCTACATCGAGGTCGGCTATCTCACTACTTTCTAATGGCCAAGTTGGGAAATTAAAGGTTCTAAGGTCAATTGATGCTTAACGACACCATGCAGCGGCCCCGTATTCTCCTCGTTTCTCCACAAGGGATACCGGTACCAACCAAGTGCCACACCAACGTAGCTACTGCTTCAACCGTATCGGTCTACGTTGTACAGTTCCCTCAAAGTCTATTGCTACTTACCTAAAAGGTGTTCCCCAGATCTGGGTGCAGGATCTATAGTAACTCCAAACAATACCCTCAAAAATAAAGCAAACAAAGCAATCAAGAGAAGCAATTTTAATGACCTAGATCCTAAGGTATACCCCACTTATTATGTCCCCAGCAGAGTCGCCAGTTCTGTGATACGGTGGCAGAACTAACATGTTTTGAAATGCTGGTTTGCATTTTGCGTTTTTGTGTTTGTAAAATGTTGCGGTAAGCAAGAGTCTCCACCGACTTTTATTTCATCCAACCGGAAAGGAAAAAAATACATAAAAAATCCTTTTTCGAGATATTCCGAGTACGGAGGTAGATTATAGAAAGGGAAGGTGTTAGCACCCTTTCTATCCATGGTTTTCCATGGGCTCTTAGGTACTTTCTCATCTTTTGAAAATTGCTTGTGTATGTGCTTTGTTTTTGAAAAGTTAAACTTCGTGATAACCCTTGTATCAGTCCTCAAATGTGTGACGAAGTTGTTTTAAAAATTTGTTTGAAAAGTGTAAGTGTGAAAAGTTTGATTTGAGCAAGTACCTACTAGCATCTACCTACTCGAAAAAATATCATTTCTATTCTCGTTTCCTTTAGACATCGTTATCCTACTATTGAGAAATAGGTAGCACCGTCGTTGGAGTTGTAAGGGTCAATTCGTAAGGGATGTACGATCATTAAAGCAAGGTTAGGACACCTTAGTAATTACCCTAAAGTCTTAAGATTATATTCAAGGCAACATTTTTGAACGGGACATTTGACCTTTGTTAGACAGGAAGGCAACCACTAAGACACCCTATGCTTAGTGATCGTTTACCAAAGGCAACCGAAGTGGGAGTATACCCTAAGAGTGAT